TACACCCAGTGCACTGCCAGTGGAGAACAGCCCACACATCTACCCAGTGCACTGCCAGTGGAGAACAGCCCATATACCCAGTGCACTGCCAGTGGCTGTGACTGCTAAGAACTGCAAAGAGATGAACCAAATTCCTATGAAATTTGTCAAAGAAATTCAAGTTTAAGAAAGGGGGATTTGTGGGGGGTGGCTAAAGAGATGGCTCAGTGGTTAAGAGCACTGGCTGCTCTTCCAGAGGTCCTGAGTTCAATTCCCAGCACCCACATGGTGGCTCAGAGCCATCTATAATGGGATCTGATGCCCTCTTCTGGTGTGCAGGTGTACATGCAGATAGAGCATCATATTCATAAAATAAATAAATCTCAAAAGAAAAAAAGGGGGGGGGATGCCCAAGAACAGAAGATCAAGGCAGCTAGGGCAAGGAGGACGGGGCAGCAGGCAGCTGGGGGGGGGGGTACCCTACTGTGTACTCTCCAGTACCTTCTGAATTCAGAACTATGTAAAAGATTATTCAAAGAGACAAACTTCAGAAGCTTGGGCCTAGTGAGGCCCTGGATGTTGTTATCTGTTCCTGACCTAGCTCCAGGTAACTGAGCTATCAGACTGTCTCCTGAAGTGTGTCCTGCCCTACAGAAACCGCGGAACAAAATCCCCAGAAGACTGTGACATTCCCAGACCAGATGAAGCAAGCTGGGCCGGCACTGTGAAGGTACAGGAACAGGCTCTCCCAGGCTGCAGTTCCTCTCTCTGCCTATAGGTGGCGGTAAAAGGCTGCTTGCTCTGGACAGCAGAACCATGTGGAGCCCGGCAGGCACAAGCAAAGACCGGCAGGCATGCGCGTGTAACATAAAATAGAAACGGAATTTATTTCTCTGGAAGAAGCAGGTATCCGTAGCTGGGGGCAGCAACTTTGGCAACAGAGGTTGATGGGAACACATCGAACAGCAACAGGAAGAGCAGGGGTCAAACAGGAAAATACTGGTGCCCCTGGGGTCTCCTTCCGATCCCGGGGCCTTGCGGGGCCCTCTCTCTGCTTCTGAGCCACTTTGAGGCTGTTTCCGGGTACAAGATCCTAAGAGCAGCCAAGCCCACAAGTTCACAGTGAAGCCACAGGTCACATTCTGTCCAGTACTCCAAATGCCTACAGGGGCGCCCTGGAAAAGGGCCCAGCCCTTGGGAGGGCCTGCTGGATGCCGGCCTACCCTTCTGCGTGGCCAACACATCCTTCTTGCCCAAGTCAAGCCATGCTTCCTCGGTCTAGTTCCCCCAGGGCAGAGCCTGAGGCACACTCGAACCACCAGCCCAGCCTTGATCTGGAGCCAGAGGCAGGTCACACGCGGGGCCGGCCAGGCGGTGGCCCGTCTTGCCTTCACAAGGCTCCTTCCCACCTCTTGGCTGGGGCACGGAGGGCTGAACCAAGGTGTGCAGAACAGCGCTGGGTGGGTGAGTGAGGTGGGCGAGGTGGGGCCCCCGGCCCCCTGGGTCTCTCGGTGTCCACTGGGAGCAGCCCGCAGAGGTGGGTCCTCCAGGCCGGAGACGGGGCATCTCCCCACCCTTGTCCCACAGACAGGTTCAAGTGGTTCCTTTAGGGCAGACCGCCGCTCTCCGGACGACTGTCAGCGTCTGAAAGATGGAAATGGGAAAGTCAGGGTCACTGCCTTCAGGTACCACGGAAAAACCTGGCATTCTGGGCAACAGTTTTAGAACTTACTCTCGAGTGTCTTTTTTTGATCAACTCTGACTTAAGAAAACAGTAGTGCTGTGTCCTGGGGTATCTCAGGACAACAGGAAGTCCCAGCTCCGCGGGATGCAAATGAGGGACAACCAGCAGCAGACACTTCAGCAGAGTGACCGGACCGCACAGTGTGGGGGAAGGCCACAGGCCTCTGCCAGTGTGCTTCTGATAGGTTCTGATTCGAGTGCAGAGTTACACTGTGTAAGAGCAGCACAGACTGGCAGAGCCGAGGCGCCTGCCTCCCAGCGCCCAGTGGCATTTTGCTTCCTGGGATGATACGGGCTTCACTTCCGCCCATTTCACCCCTTTGGGGCTTGATAAAGGTTTCAATTACTGTTAATCTGTGTGCTTTATTTTATATGAGTACACATATATAGACTTTTAGTCAAGCAATGAGGCCTTCTTTGGATGTTTATTCCTCCAAAAACATTAACATACATGGAGATGGAAGTGAGAGGGTGTGTGTGTGTGTGACTGCGGCATTGCACATGCCACAGAGGGTGTGGAGAAGTCGGAGGACAAGCCCAGGTGGTGGTCCTCGCCTTTCTTCTTGGGACAGGGTCTCTGTTATTTGTTGGCTACTGCATGCCAGGCTAGCTGGCCCCTAATCTTCTGGGGCTCTCCCGTAAGAGCAATGGCTCAAGTTACATGCCCGTATTTTACACAGGTGTGGAGATTCGAACTCAGGTCCTCAAGCTTATACAGCAAGCACCTGATTCGCTGAGCGATGTTCTCCCGGGACAAACCAGCACGTTAGACAGAAATATGATAAAGGAGGTAAAACTACTTGGTTAAATAGCCATCGTGAAGCTTGTGGGCAGCTAGGCACTCGGGAAGCCGGCCTGCACCGACCAGGTGCCCAGGTGACTCCTCCATTCTTCCATTCTTGAGAAAAGCCCGCCTCTGGGGCCCTGCACCTGCCCTCTCCCCTACCAGCTGGGGACTCCCTGCCTATGTGTGCTCTTAGGAGGGTAGACAGGCTTTTCCTAACAGCGGGACACCCCGAGGACAGCCCTCCTGCGGAGGATGGGACTCACTTGTGGTGGGCAGGGCCACAGGAACCCAGAAGGTGGCAGCCAGCTTGCTCCAGGTTCCAGTCAAACATCTCCAGCACTTTGTGGCACTCCACCCGTGGCCGGAGACCCAGCCCAAAGAGCTGTTCCACCTGAGGAGCAGAGGGTAGTGGTGCCATGGGACACCCGGGGCGGGAGGGCAAGGGGTCCCGGACCAGAGTCGGGGCACAGGGGCTTAAGAGTCAGCAGGGAGGGTCAGGTTCAGCAGAACCAGCTTTCGGGGCCCCTGAATGCCAGGGCAGGCAGGCAATGATGGTACCTTCAGATACTGGGCAGCCCTCTGCACGCTCCAGCTGTGGCTCTGCAGGGCCGCCTGGCACTCCTCTGTGGTCACCCCATGCACCATGGCCTGCAGCTGGGCACACCCGCCCATCAGCACCACTCGGGCCCACTCCTCTGGGTCCCTCAGCCCCCTGCCCTTCCCCCCCTTGAAGTGGGTCCGGCACTCACCATCTGGATCTTGTCTGCTGGCCGGGCAGCCTCTTGCCCATCCCCTGGGCAGCCCCTCTGCGGCAGCCGGGCGGTGGCCCTCGGGGCCGGGGGCCGAGCCCCCGGGTTGCTGTTATTGGTGGAGAAGTTGCCCTTTGGGTCTGGGGCAGCCTGAGGCATGGGTCGGACCGTGGCAGTGGGGGCGGCGGGGGCGGGGGTACTGGGTGGGGGCAGCAGGAGGGGGGGCACAGGCTCTTCGGGGCTCTGGGCCTCCCGAAGGAAGCGCTGGTAGCGCTCCAGGTAAGCAGGGCGCTCGGGCAGCAGGTAGTAGTGAGTGCTGCTGACCTTCCTGCCATCGCGGACAATGGGCAGGATGCAGGGGCCAGCCCGCGGGCCGGGGGCCTGGATCACTTGGGGCGTGGCATACTTAGGGTCGGAGGCGAAGCTCTGGGTGGTGGGCATGGGCTTTCCAGGCGAGCTGGAGAGCCGGTGCGGTAATGGAGAGCTGCCAGGCGGCACCAGGGGGCTCGGGGTCCTTGAACCTTGAGGGGACAGGGGTTCCCGGGGAGGCACTCGGGGAGGGGAGGCAGGTCCAGGCCACCGGCTCGCCTCTTCCTCACCCGGGGGAGCCGGAGATAGCTCCACACGTGGACGTGTGGGCCGAGGGGGGATAGGCACCCGGGGTGGCACCTGGGGCTTGTCATCGCCTCCGGGGGTCGGGGAGGGGGTCAGCGGGCCAGCGGGGACCTGGAGCTGCCGCATACACTCCTGCTGCAGGGCCTGGAAAATCTCCGCCGTCTGGGCCAGGCTGGGTGGCTTGGCGCCGCCACCCTGCGGGGGAAGGAACAGGTTGTCCTCCAGGGCAGGGGGCAGCTGCGCCTGCGCCTGCTCGGGCACAAAGGCGTAATTGGTCTCGCCCTGGCTCGGCCCGGCAGGGAGCCCTGCGCCCACGAGCGTGCTGTTGATGGAGCAGACCTCAAAGTCATCCTCATCTTGGGCCACCTCGTCGTAGGCAGGGGGCGGGGGCAGCGGGCGGGCGTCCCAGTCTACCACGGGCGTGGGGTGTAAGGGCCGGGGCAGTGCCCGCGTCGGGCTCTGGGGGGGCGTCTTGTCCAGCAGGGAGCAGGCATCCATGGCCAACTGTGCCAGGGAGGGTGCACAGGGCCGCGGGGCTGGGACCGCGGGCTCCTCCCCGAAGTCGATGAGCGTGACCTCGCCCCCGCCGCCGCCCCCGCCGCCGCGGGCCGCCTTGGTGCCCGGCACGCGGGCCGAGGGCTTCGCCAGCCACAGCCCCCGGGGCAGGGCCGGCTTCCTCAGGCCCAGCCTCTTGAAGTCGCTGGCCAGGGGGTCTTGGTCCTCACTCACAGGGTCGTATGTCGGCTCTGTGATAAAAAGGGAGACCCCGATGGGGAGATGGTGTCAGGTGTGAACGGACAACGAGGGGAGGTAGGATGTGCAAAAGGACACCAAGAATTCCCCACCAACTCCGCACTGCCAACTCCTACAGGTTCGCCTCTGCACCTGAGAGCACACCTGACCCTGCTCAAACCGGACAGAGCCAGCTCTCTGCCCTCAATGCAGGCTGGAGGGACCCCCGACCCTACCTAAGCGAGAGCAGGCCACACCCCACTCACGCCAGTCTCTGACATCCCCTCCCTAACGCGAGCCCTGAATTCCTTGCTCCGGGCCCCCAGTTAGTAACCCCTCACCCCGACTCTAGGGTGGCACACTGTGAGAGCAGGCACAGGCCAACGGGAGCTTCCCTCAAAGGACAGAGCTCCTGAGAGCCTCCACCACATCCCAGACACCGCCTCTGCAGGTCTGAAAGAGCGTAAGGCTGAGTCACAGCAGGGCAAGGTCAAGGGGGGACCCCAGGACCACACGTCTCTGAGGGTACGGATGGGGGAGGCAGGCATGCCGGGCCAGTTCAGCAGCAGAAGCTCACAGCACACACCCGCCTCCCCTTTCACACAGCCGGCCTGGCCGCTGGGGCTCTGTACCTTCCAGAAGAGAAGTGAGAGGAGAGGGAGGGCAGGGGCGGGGGCCGAGGCATCCTGAGCAGCCCCACTTACTCTGAGTGAAGATGGCAGGCTGAGGTGGGCGAGGTGGAGGCTCCCCTGTAAGAAAGGCCATGCGGACAGAGGAGGCAGAAAGGAGGTGACCAAGCAGGACAGAGATGGGACGGGAGACAGAGCCCGACAGAGGGAAGAGTTGAGATGAGAAGGGGGGGGGGAGGGAGAGACAGGGAGGGAGAGAGAGGTGAACAGGAGTGAGCGAATGCACAGAACCCAACTGAAGCTGGGCGGTGGGAGGGGATGGGGAGGCAGGATGGAACCATCGTTCCAGAGTGACAGGCACGGGACCTGGGAGGTGGATGGGGCTCCTGGCTGAGAGATGGAGCCCAGAGTGGGGTGTGGGGTGTTGGCCTGGCAGAGAGGAGCATGATTAAGGCAAGTGAGGGGAGCCAGGATCTGAACAGGCCGGTGAGGAAGGAGGTGGAGGAAGCAGACTGCAGGGCCAGTGTAGACCAACCCAAGGATCCCCACCTCAGCGGCGGCGGCTGCGGCGGATACAGCGGATACAGCTGCCTCTCCTCTCCTACCCCACGCCTAGCCAGAGCCAGGGAACCAGCTGTCCCTCCTGCTGCTCTGACCCAACTGTGCCCAGAGAAGAACAGCAGGCTCGGGGGGGACCAAGGCAGGGACCTCTCCTCGGCAGCCAGCGAGGTGGGAACACCAAGGAATGGAAGTTAGGGCTCTTACTTTTCACCCTTCCCAGATGCTGGGCGGGTCGGGAGGTGCTCAGCTCCACACTCAGCAGGTCAGGAGGGTCCATGGGGTTTCCCAGATACAGTCTGTTGGGAGAGAACCAGGTCAGAAGGGGGGGGGGGGCTGGCAGAGACGCCCTGGCAGAGGGATGTGGGGCCCATTCCCTAAGGCCAGGCCAGAAACAACAGCAGCAAAAAAACCTTCCTGAGTGTTCAGGGAACAATGCAAAGACGAAGGCGGATTTTAGAGGAAGCTGAGGCACAAGCTCCCAGACTCCTGGGTCCGGGGTACCGATTGTCCCTTCAACCCGAGGTGGCTCCCGAGGGGAATGAACACCTGACCCAGGCTGAGAAGCCTGTGCCTTACAGGGGCACACCCGCTGGCATACTCTTGTTCTTCAGACCCTCCTGGGAGACGGGAGAGAAGCACCTGCTGCTAGCCCCTAGGAGGGTGGGCAGGAAGCAGCTTCCTGCTGAACCACAGGAAACGGGGAGGAGGCAGAGCTGCCGGGTAGGCACCCCACTCACCCCAGCCCCTACGCCAACCGCCAACCGCTAACCAACCGTCAGGATCTGGGATCTGGGACTTAGTCACCAAAGCTGATTAAAGCCTGGAAGAATGAGGCTGGGCTGGCTAAGGCACAGCGGGAGTGGGACAGAGGGTGCAGGCCTCTGCAGGGAGGGCCTGGCCTCCCCTTCCCTCCCCTCCCCGCACTTTCACAGGCCCTTACCTGGTTCCTGTGAGACAGAGGACCCAAGGAGGGCCCTCTCTAAGGGCCTGATGTTCTGGAGTGTGGGGTATGGGAGAGGAAAGGCCTAGTTCACCACACTCTCAGGAGGAGGCCGCTGGAGAAAGGGCCACAGAGGCATGGAGGGAGCCCTAGCAGGAGAGCCGACAGCCTACCTGGGGTGGGCAAAGTACTGTGAAGTGCCTAATTCTGTATTTTCCCCAGATGGCTCCCGGTGGTCTCTTTCCCTAAATGAGACTGTGAATCCCAACCCCCCCCCCACACACACACACACAAGCAGAGTGAGCTCTGGGGACAGACTGGAGGCACGCTGCTCCCTAAGTTCCCCCAGGCCTGTGCCCACTTCTGGGCAACAAACTCACTCCTGCCTGGACCTGTACAGACATGAGACCTGACCTCACAGGTTCAGGGCTCCAGAACTCTGGAACCCCCTGAAGGAAAACACTGCTTGGAGGCAGGTGTCTCCCCGTGTGCCAGAAGGTGGTGCCTCCTCTGTTGGGTGACAGGGAACTTTTTAGCAAGCAACAAACGAGTCCATCCTTGGGATTTCCTGAGCCTGGTTTTACTTACAACGGAAAACTACGCACAGACAGACACACGGCCCCACAGATGTGACAGGGCAGTGTTGGGCAAGAGAGAGAGCTGGAGGCCCAGCAAGGCGCACCCTGCCCCCCCCCCCCCGCCTCCCCTCCCCCCCACACCCCGGCCCCAGTGCACCCTTGGCACACACAGCCACTCTGGGCCCTCCTCCGGCACTGACACCTTGTCCCACCCCAGCTCCAGAGCCTACTCTCCTCTGGTAGGTAGCCTTCTGGCACAAAAGCAGGCTGACGGAGAAAAGAGGTGAGTAAGATGTGCGGAGCCCCGGGAGGATGGTAAGGCTGAGGACCCGCAGCGGGGAGCGAGGGCAGGCAGCGAGAACGCAGAGAGGATCTCTGTTCACGCGCGTCTCAGACACCTGCACATCTATTCTCAGGTAAAAGCCGCAACACACTGTGCGGGGCCGTGAGGTCTGCAGCGTGCGGCTCCCCTCTGCAGAGATGGCATGCAGCGCCGGACCTGACCCCCACGCCCTCTGACCCAGACGACAGGAGGAGGTAATCACACTGCACAATGGCAGAGGAGAAACACCACAATCCAGACATGTATGTGGTTCAAGCGCCACACCAGAGGCAGGGTCCCTGAGGACAAGTGATAAATAAGGCCCAGGGATGGGAAAAGCTCGCCTCTGTGCCCCTGCGGCCGGCAGCCTGTCGTGAGCGAGAAAAGCAGCTGAGGACGGGAAGGGCTGTGCGCATGTGCGTGGCCGGAGGGCCAGCATCTGTCTACGCCTGGGTTAGGAAACCGGAGTACGTGTAAGCATCAAGGTGTGGTGACACCTTTCTGCAGGTGACCTCACTGCCCCAAAGTTCTCCACTACAGGAAAAACTGGGACCCCACTTGGTTGGAAAGGCCAACAAGGTAAGGCCTTAACCACTCCTGGCCTTGGGAATGACTTTGGGGATGCTCTTTGCCGGCTCCTAGTGCTGCTTGCTTTGAGCAAGCCCTTTAATTCAGAGCCTCCTTACAGCCTTTACCTCCTTAGTGACGGACAGCGCCATCTTTGGGATCTATGAGAGCTTGTGTGTGGTGTGGTGTGGTGAGGGGCCCCTCATCTCAGGAACCCAGGACCAGATCAGGTCGGTGTCTCTGTCCAGGTACTTACTCATCAATCTTGTCAGGGAATCCCCAGCAGTGGCGGGGGTCACTGTCACCGTGCCCCGTGTGGATAAAGCTGTTCTGTAGAGGCTGGCTGATGTCCTGAGCCGACAGGCCGGCCACGGAGGTCACCACATTTCGAGGGAAGGGTCCCACACACAGCGTCCGGGTGTTCTGGCCACGCCACCAGTAGTTCTCAGCCCTGTGTGACAGAAATAACGCAGTGAACACCAGGTATGGAAGAGGAAGTGACCCCAGGCAAAGGGACCCTTCTCATCCCTCATGGAAACTGGCTACCTTGGCAAAAGGTAAGCACTGAAGACAAGACCTCAAGCTCAGTCCACCCACCAGTCTACTCTGCCCGACAGCAATCCCATAAGCTGCCACTCCCTGAGGAGGGCCTGGCTGTTTGCTCAGCCTTACCCTAAGCTCCTCTGGGTAGGTCAGGTAGCTTTTCCTACAGTCTACAAATAAGGAAACAGATTCCAGCAAGTGTCGTACATGACTAGCCTATTTACCAGCATGATCACAGCAGACCCAGTATCCAAACCAACTGAGTCTGCAAAAGCAATTCACTCTCACGACACACCTGTTTCCTTCCTCCAGTGGGGGCCTGCCTTGGTCCCGGGGCCACTAGATTCACTCTTCAGCAGGGTTCTAGAAATTTTAGGTGATACATGGGCCAAAGGGAGCCCCATGAGTTTGGGAGCATGCCTTCCAACTACTATTCAGCCCTCACATGCAGACCTTCAAGATGTAGGAGTACATGGAGACCCAGGTCTTCTTTTCCCTGGGGCCTGGCACCACCTGTGGGCAGGGCTGTGGGGATCCAGCCTTGCCACCTCCCCATCTTCTCAGGGTGAGGCCTACTCTCTTGTCTCACGAGAGGGGTCTAGGAGGGAAACTCAGATTTCCCGGTGTGGCAAATCTTGAGGATCTCGGTCCCTCACTCCTTAGACAAGACAGGAGCAAGCCTGTGTCTGATCCAGTCTAAGCCCAGGCTGAGGCCCACAAAGCAAGCCAGCAAGCCGGAAAGAGCAGAGCTCTCTCTCTGGACACTCCACATGCCCCGCAGCTGACCGCTGGGGCCCCTGCGTCTGCTGCTCACACCAGAAGATGTGGACAGTCTGGGGGAAGGCGTCGGTGCTAACAGGCACACTGCTGGGACATACCCACACCACCACTGCCTGCCCTGTCCCCCCACCTTTACATCATCTGTCCCACAGCCAGAAGGGCCTCCCGTGGAACAGCCACAGCAGAGGGGCTGGGGGGCGGGGGGGGGGGGGCGCTGGGCAGGGCCACGGCGGCCTTCTGGTCACTAAGGCTGCCCCGCTGGCCCACCACCAGCCACAGCAACCCTGTGATCACTCCCTGCCTGCAGGCTAGGAAGGGCAGGGAAGGAAGGAGGAGGACAACACCCTGAGAAGGAACAATCTCCTCCGAAAATAGCAGAGCCACTCCAAGGGGAGAAAGGCTCCGCGACACACAGAGCTGCCCATGAAAAGCACAGGGCGGCCATGCCTGCCCAGCACCCAGGGCTGTTCTCCCGACGCCAGCGGCTCCTCCACAGGGCAGCCCCTCCCTTCCCCGGCTGCCAGCCCTCACCTCTGCTCTGCCCACCTCCTGAGGTGCGCTCTTTAACTCAGAGAGGCCCCAGCAGAGCTGGGAATGTTACCCAAACATTCTGCTCACAACACACACACAACCCTACCTTGTCCCTTCTGAGGGCAAAGACCGACCGGGTGCCTTCCACCCCTCCAACCACAGGAAGTGGAGGCTGGAGGGCAGGCCAGGCCAAGAACCTACAAATGGATTTCAAAACCTCTGCCCCCGCCCAATACCACTTCTGAAAACACACACATACACACA